TTCCTCATATTTCTTTTAGAACGACCAAAAAAAAGTGGACTTTTTTATTTATGGAATTTTATTAAAATATTTATCTAATATGAAGTGTTTACCCATTTACTTCTATTCAAATTTAAGGACATGTATTTTTTATGGATATTTTGAAATTAAATTAAAAAATAAATATAAGTTAAATTGTCCATCTGCCGTAGGTAATTTAATAAATTCTCCTTCTAAATCGAATAAAAATTCAATTACAATGGGTTGTTTCATCATTTTGAAGAAGTTTATGGCTTATTTCAACAAATTCGTAGTTTTTTTTTTTTGGTGGGGTATAATGATAATTCTATGATTGACATGGGCAAAATCTGGTATCCAACTTTTCAATATTTTACATATTGTTTGCCTGTTCTTCTATGGCAAACATATGGAGGTCAAAAAGATAAAATCCTTACTATTTTAAAAGTATTTATAATCAAAGATTTTGTTTGTTTTGGTGTTTGCTGATTTGTTTATTAAATAATTACTTTACTGAGAAAACCAAACCTAGGGGTTTAGTACCCATTGTTTTACAAGTGTTTCTAAAGTTTGGGAACGGGTAACAAGTGTTTCTACAGTTTGGAAACGGGTTTTGGATTGTTCATCCACTGATTCGAATTTGATCTAAATCAACATAGCTTCGTATAAAAAATGACTGGATGTCAATAAAAGTTGTCATTTGTAATGTTTGAAAGTCGCTTATTTAAATAAAGAATTGACAATTCGAATTGGGATCGATGAGAACCAACATGTTTCCTTACCAGACTCGGTAATTGATTCAATTTAAGGGGACTCCCCCAGCTCTATCGCAGAACATGAGGGTATGTCTTGAAAGTAGGTGATCCAAATTGACCGAATCACTTAATTCCCATGTCAATTTATTTGTTAATACTTCTTTATTTTTAATTTAATTAATTGGATGTTATATAGATCGGCTAGGAGAACCACCGGTGCGTATTGGTCCAATCACTAGCCAGCGGTCCATGTGGCCGATCTGGGTTTTTAAACATCGAAAATTTGTCAGGAAATTGGAAAAAATAACTATAGTAAAGGATGCAATTAGCATGCTGGTCAAGCCCGTACATGTAGAAATACGTGCCTCTTAATAAATCTATTTTTGAGATGGATTTTTAACTTAATTTTTAACTATATATAATCTCTAACATAAAGATCATGAATATGAAAAAATAAATAAATTTTAAAAATTAAAAATAATAATTCTATTAAAAAAACATTTAAACCATTAGATAGACCACATATTTACATCCATCTTTAAAATGGATGCTTTATACTTCTAGACCGCATATGTAGAAATGCGGTCCAGAACTTTGCTACGGTTAAGACGAGCGAAAATATGACCTCATCAAGGGTAGTTTCGATATTTTTCCAGGTTGACGTGAGGTTTTGGTAATTTCTCAACTGCGGGAATGGCGTACGAGGTCAATTGTTTTCTGGTAGCCGCCGCCAGCGCCACCGCACAAGTATTCACTACAAATACCCTTGCTTAAGAAATATTTATCAATTTTGCTCTAGCCCATACTACATATGTGGTGTTTTTGTTCTTTTTTTTTATTTCTTTAAAAATATTTATTGCTTCTAGATTTTTTACAAGTGTTTGGATACCAAAAATTTGAGCTGATATATAATATAATATTAAAATTAAAATGCAATACATTCTTTAAAAAATGGGACATAAGCATAAAATATGAAATATTAAAATTCTTAAATTCTACATAATAATATAAAATAAATTTTCTTTAAATTCCTTACCCCCAAAAAACATGCCTCTAATGTATAAATTTTACTTAACCAAAAAAACATATTTTTTGTAAAAATATTTTTTTAATGCTAATTATTTTAATTAAAATATGGCTTTAATTTTTAATTGCTATTTCTTTATTTTAAAAATTAAATCCAAGAGGTCTTTGTAATGATTGGACAATTGGACTCGATCAAATCCTTCACTAAGTTAATGGATAACTGATCCTTGCACTATCACCCCGACTAAGGCATATCATAGGTAATCCTTTAATATGAACCAAGGTTTAGAAAAAATGGGGATTTGGATCAGAACTAGCCTACTCAGATCATAAAACAGTCAAGCCAATCCGTATCTCACAAAATATCGAGATCCAGCCGATTCACTCTATGAACCGGTCAGTTCTATCAGAAAACACGTCAGAACTGACCCCAAGTTTTTTTTTTAAAAAAAATTCAATTTATTTATTTCTTTCATCAATTTACTTGCCCAAATAATTGGTCTGTATCATCGATTTTCTTAACCAAACCAAATTTCCATATGGGCGATTCGAGTCACTAATCTATTTTTCTAAACCTTGTATGATCCAACTTGATTGGGAACATTAATTTCCCTCTCCCTAAACCATTAATTTCTCTCTCCTCTCATGTGAGTTTCATAGTTTTTTTTTTCCTTTTCTCTTTTGTGCTCTCTCCCCTTCTTTTTGTTCTTACAATATATACCCCAACCATTTCAAATCTCAAACAATATTTTTTTAGCATGATCCAACTCCTTGGGAGCATTAATCTCCCATCATTCTCTCTCTCTCTCTAACATTCTCTCTCATGTGAGTTAGAGTGCAAGTGTTCTTATTTTCTCTCTCTTCCTTTTTTTTTGTGTTGGGTGTTGAGATGGCTGGGTCGGCACGAATGTTACCCACTCCCACACTCAAGAGAGAGAGAGTTAAGACAACTCACTAACAAGTGTATAGAGACTTAGAGAGAGAGAGAGTTAAGACAATTTAGAGAGAGAAAGTGTCTTTTAAGATTCGATGAAGACTTATGTTGCTCATTCACATACTCAATAGAGAGAGACTTAAAGAGTTAAGCCACCTCATGAGAATGTGCAAAGAGATTTGGAGAGAGAGAGAGGTTGGGTGTTGAAAAAATGTAGAGAGAGAATGTATGTTTTAAAACTTGATTAGAGGCCTAGCTCAATCTCCCATGCTTAATCTAGTTTGGATATATCATTTAAAAGAAGTAATGGTTTGGTAAAAACTTCCAATCTATTGTTTGAACGTTGACAAAAGAAGAAAAGTCATCAATGAACGGTTTCAATATAACCATAATATTTGTTTTTAGAGAGAGAAAGAGATTATTGTCACGTATACGCTTCAATATTTTAGAAAGATAAACAAAGGGGCTTCTTTTAGTCCCTCTGAACTCCCTATAAAGTTTTTTTTACTCATGTGGGAGTATATACTCTCCATTTACTAACTCAGGCAACATATATGTTAGGCATATTTTTTAGATCTCGAATTTTAGAGATATAATCTTCAAAACTTATAAAATAATCTTAGTAAAAATAATCATTTAGTAAAAAACTCAAAATTAAAAAAAAAATTATTGTAGAAATAATCATTTAGTAATAGAATATAAGTTTTTGCATGTAAAAATAACCATTTAGTAATGGGAAAGTTTATATAAAGTCGAGGCTCTAAACAATCAAACTAAAGTGCATCTCAAAAATTCACTAGAAGAAAATGTTTGGATGTGAAAACATATTTATCTCTGATCATCTCGACTTTGACATGCTTGGATGTAAGAAAATAGAATTCAAGACTTAGAAATAGTGCATTTTATAAGGCATTGTCAAGACGGTTAATTTTCAAGATTTTCAAGTGTTCAAAGATTTGCTTCATCTACAACTTTTTTAAACTTTAAATTTTATAATTAAAGATGAGAATGAATTTTCAAGCCATCATAAATATTTTCAATACTAAAATGACATCTTTTGATACTATTTGAAATTGCATCTTACTTTGATTATTTAGGGCTCCAACCATATACAAACCACACCCTTTAGTAATGGGTGTAGATTGTACAAGGCCAAGGCCCTAAACCATCAAAATAAGGTGTGCCTTTAAATAGTATCGAAAGATGTTGTTTCAATACAAGAAATATTTGTGCTGACCTGAAAATATACTGTCATTTTAATTATAAAATGTAGAGCTTCAAAAATAGTACAGATAGACCATATTTATGAACACTTGAAAATCATAAAAATTGATGGTAAAAAAATGCATTACAAGATGCTCTATTTTCAAGACTTGAAATTTTTTTTTTTCCATGTCTATCCATCGTCATGTTGAGATGATTGATTTGAGGATTTTTGAATATTGAAACAACCTCTTCTAACGAATTTTTGAAGTGCGTTTTAATTTAATTGTTTAGGGCCTCGCTCTTACATAAATTTTTTCCTTTAGTAATTCTTATATAGTTTCTAAAATTTTATAGGCAAAATTACAATACCCTCAAATTGGACTTTCTCTCCCTCCTAAATTAAATTTTTTATTACAATATTTACTCCAAAACAAACTTTTATAAGAAATAATTTTCCAAGTAAAAAAGTCATCGTTTTTTGGACCAAACTGCTCTCCCATTCCTCGTTGAATGCTGTCGGTTTGGCACTTATAAATGAGATATGGTAGGTTGTTGATGTTGGTCCGACAATTTTGTCGATCCGGCACTATGATGCCTCGGTCCGGCATTTTTGTAGGTCATTGTGACGCCTCGGACCGGTATAAGTTCTATGTAATCCGATAGATTATTGCTGCAATCCGGCAGTTAATGTGATATGGGTTCCGATCTTCCAGTAACATGTGCCGAACTGTATTTGGGGACCAAGTGTCTAAGGAAAACAATTGGTTGGGGGCAGGGTGTAAACGAAGTTGAGTAGGGTTTTTTGTAATTTTCCCGATTTTAAATTAAGAAAGCCCTCTTAAAATGGTGGCTTGAGCGCAGGAGTATATGCACAATATGCTTCCGCGGGAGGATAATATACGCGCTGAAAAATGAACAGTGCTTTCTCTGAATCTTCTTCGCCACTGCATTCCTTTTGACTTCTCCACGCTTTGTTGAGAGCCCAGCCCGTTGTGGACTGTGAGTTTCCTCTTTTCACTATGAGGAAAACGTGGACCATGGACGGTGGAAAACCTGTACTACTTTGTCTCTCTAAAATTCATAAATACCCATGCCAACCACCTCCTAATACTCAAACTCCACAACACTCTCTACCCCATTTCCTCCTTTCCAAAATCTTAGACCACCCCATTTCCAATTCTCCAAATCTTGAGCACCCAACAAGCCATGGCTGCTCTGAACTCTGGCATTTGCAGCAAAAAGTTTCTCTCTCTATCTGCAAACACTTCAACACTTGAAAAAAATGGGAGTTTTGTTCGACCTTTTTGTTTTCCAATGGTTAGAGAGAGAACCCATGTGAGAAAACAGATCAAAACAAGGCCCTTAATGGCGGTTCTAAGTCAAGATGTTATTACTCAGCGTGCTGTGAGAGCTCTTACTGAGAAACCAGTCATGTTTAAGGTTAGGGCCCTGGTCACTATCAGGAGGAAGAAGAAGGAGGATCTGAGAGAAACAATTGAGAATCATTTGGAGGCTCTCTCTGATAATTTGGGGAAGAAGATTGTTCTTGAGCTTGTTAGCAATGAGATTGATCCCAGTAAGTTTTTTGAGGACTTGTACTTGGGAGTTCTGTCTTTCTGGGGCTTTGGGTTTTTGTTGTTTCCTTGATTTGGACACAGGATCTCTCTCTCTCTC